CTGGCACAATTTGAACTATAAAGGCGCTCAATAAAGTCATTCATTGCCACAATTTGAATTAATATAAATAAATAAATAATATTTGTCTTGCAATTTTGGACAATTTGAATTAATTTAAATAAATAAATAATATTCGTCCGATTATGTTAGGCAATCCAATTTCTTTTTAAGGCAATTGCAACAAGCATTAGAATATTATTTCAAGCAGTCATCCTGTAATTTACGATGTAATTATATATTATTTCCATCTTAATTAAAGGCACTGGATTTTATCACACATTAGTGGGGAGTCATCGCAATAATCAACTGCGCAATAGTCGCGTATGCTGCAATTGTTGGCACGCTGAAATTATCCGTATTCATGTAATAAAATTTACTCCTATTCAATTAAGGTAATAAAATTAATTTCTTTTCATTTCTTCAAAACTCTCTTCTGCAACAATATTTATTCCTCTTAATTCCGGTATGAAATTCATTCCTCTTCGTTCCGGTGATAAAATTCGTTCCTCGTCAGTCCGGTATAATAAAATCAACTCCTCTTCATTTCGGTAATAAAATTCATTCTTCGTAATTCCTGAAAAAATAATTCTTACTCATTCTAGTAACAAAATAAATTCCTCTACATTAGATCAATAAAATTAATTCATTTTTATTCCGGCAACAAAATTCATTCCTCCTCATGCAAACCGAAAAAAAATTTATTCCTCTTTATTCTGGTGACAGAATAAATCCCTCTTCATTCCGGTAATAAAATTCATTCCTCTTCATTTATTTAACAAAACTCACTCCTGTAACCAAATTCATTCCATTTCATTTATTCAACAAAACTCACTCCTGTAACAAAATTCATTCCTCTTCATTTATCTAACAAAACTCATTCCTGTAACAAATTCATTCCTCTTCATTCCGGCAGAAAAATAAATCCTCTTCATTATGGTTATAAATTCTTTCCTCTTTATTCCGGTAATGAAATTCATGTCTAAAAAATTTAAAGTTGGTAATGGTTAGGTGGGGCTGACTTTTAAAATTGGTACACTTGACGTGGAATTACCGTATAATTTAATATAAATTTGACATATTCTAAATATAGATTTATTAAACGTTGGCACATTCTTGGAATTGATTTGATAGAAATGATACAAGTTAAAGTTATAATATAAGGCTGCGTCCAACTTACTAAAGGAGCAAAATACGCTTAGTTGTTGCAAAGAAAACGAAAATGGCAATGTAAAATAAGGAACGGAGAACCAACGCGTTTATAGGAACAGTCTCAGAAATACTTAATGACAGATGAATGTGGTGATACTGAAAACGATGATTTTATTGCGGCAAAAACTTAAGTTCAAGGTTAGGGGCTACCCTCCGATAAAAATTTTTATTAACTCACCGAGCTTTATGAAATTTCATACAAAATTTATGTAAAACGTACGAATTTATGTAAAATACGGGGAAAATAGGGACTTTGAAAAGTCTCCTCTTTTGATTAATGAGTTTCTACATCGTTAGACGTGACTCTCTATCCGCTGATATCTCGCGACTGTATGTACATACATAGATACCCTCTTTCCTAATTTCACTTTTTATTATTTATTACGGATATTTTCTTTTTTCCCCCTCCCTTCATTAATTAACAATATTCCTGATATTATTGGCAATTCATCATTTATTTATTATTACCCCCGCCTAATTGCACGTAACTTGTCATTATTTGCAGGCGAAGTCAGATATCCTGGCGGGCGTCCTGCAGTACAAGTCTCCTCCTCCTCAGGGTGAGTATGGCAGCTGTTGAGGCATCAATACGGTGATTTATCACCACGACTCTTGTATTTTCATTGTATTGGTTGAGTTTTCCTTGATTAAGGCAATAATAGTATAGGGTTTTTTGAATATTTGATTCTAATCAAGGGAGTTTAATTGAATTCTAATTCATAGAGAACTTCCCATCGATTGTTAATAATTTCATTCAAACAGCAGGGCTGCACAAGCAGGAAATTTGCTTGTTTATTTTTATTACGTCAAATGGTTTGGTTGAAATGAATTCAAACAAAGCGAACGCTAATTTAATTATTTATGCTGCCGAAAATATTGATCTATTTTTGTAACGGATGAACTGCTGAGTTAGGCCTAAAATGTGACGATTGACGTTAAGCAGCCTGGTCGTTGTGCCTTGATTGTGTAAGTTAATTCAAGGAGTATAAGTGAAAAATTCTCTACAAAGACTCGTACACGGTAATCAGGAATTAACAATTCGCATTTGTAAGCGTTACAATTAGTAATTAGAATGTGCATTTAATATATAAGCGCCCGACACCTAACTATTTTCTACGAGCTCGCCGCAGAAATATGTTAACCGTCCCCAGCTCTGCAATATCGCGATAAGTTTCATGTTGCAGAATATAGGAACAAATGCATAGGGCTTGCTTTATTGATTGTCTGCTGATTTATTAAATAATATAATATAGGAATATTATATAATCAGCCACATACAAATTAATTCCACGTAAATAGAAGGTTTAGCATCCTGGCTAGCAACCATCCATATAGGGTACGCACACAGTGAAAGCAGGTTGCCAGCGTGCTGGTTACCTGCTCAGGCTGGCGCCTGAATCCATAGAAATACAGAAGCCTATTCGTACAGGTTTTCACTGTGAACACTTACATTATTATCCTATGTTCATTCTTGTGGCAGGTTGAAACCATAGCATACAGAAGCCTATTCGTACAGGTTTTCACTGTGAACACTTACATTATTATCCTATGTTCATTCTTGTGGCAGGTTGAAGCAGGTTGCCCGCGCGGGCAAACCTGCTTTCACTGTGTGCGTACCCTTAATTACTTCTTAAATTAATCCACTAAAGAAATGGCTCATGTTCCGTGTTAATATAAATATAATATGTAATATTACTATCCCTAAGTTATTGTGCTGAACGAAAAAAACGCAGTATTAAGAGTGCCTCAATGCTATTAGGAAACGAACAGATTAGTAATTTATATTATTTTTGTTTTTATTTTATACTTTTTGAAATGGTTAGATAATTAGTTTTCTACTAGTTTAGTTTTTATTGTATTTTAATGGTGAATAAATTGACAACCAGTTTTATTTTAGTTTACCATTGTCCGTTTTCTATGAGAAAAAGCGAATAGAAAACTTTAATATTAGCAGGGACTACATAGCTTAACGGCTCGACCAAGACGCGATGTGTTCGTGGAAACTCTTTGTTAAATAATTAGCAACCGATTATTTTTTCAAGTAATATAAAGTTAATATTTATTGTTATTTTTCAAGTCTGCAATCTATGGGAAATTTCAAATTGATAAAAAATCAGTATGTATAAATAATGAATGTTATTTAATTTTAATTTATGTCAGGGAACAGTAAGCATGGGCTAGTATGTTAAGTTTCATGCAATAATATAAAATGAATCGATATGGAATCAATTAAATTATGACGCTTAAAACCTTATTACTCTATAATCTATATGAACATGAGGATGATATCCATGTGAACATGAAGAAAATATACATGTATATATGAGGGAGATATCCATGTAAATACAAGTTTGATATCTATGTGGATTTGATAATAATTGTCATGTTTATATGACTATGAAATCCTTTTGAATATCAGTAAGATATTCATGGAAATATGCGTACAATATCCATGGCATTCGCAGGTGAGGAATATCTCGTGGCATAATTTTAGCTTTGAGAAATGGTTCAAGGTTCCATTCAGTTATCATAAAAATTATGGATCAGAGGCCATACTTTCAAAACTCGCTAAGTGAACGTAAGTACTTACGCTCTATTTTCTTGTCTATGATTGGTGGGTTTTGCTTAAAAGGCCATCAATGATTGGTTCCTGAACATACGATCTCTTAACTTTTTTTGAATGTATGGCCCCAGGCCACAATGCATTGAGCACCGGACGTCTCGGACAAATTTACGGTCGGACACGCGGCCGGTCTTGCGGCCAATCTACAAGTTCAGTGACCAATGAATATCTCACAAACTAATAAACGCAGCTCAATGAAACTTTGTAAATGTATTAATTATGACGTAACCTTGATGTTAGCTCGTAAAATTTCTTCCATTTCCCCTTCATTCGTGAATTATACGACAATTCGTGCCGATATTTCCAGTGACCAAGAAATTTCTTTTAAATTATTGATTTGATATGAACGGGACTTTGATTATATATTCCTAACCTACCAACGGTAATGTTTAGCTCGTGTTAATTTTTTCGACTTTTTCTTCGTTTGCAAGTTATACGGCTATACGAATACGGCTCTTTGTTAATGCAAATTTAAAATCGGACTCTGAAATTATTATCGTTTCTCCGTATATCCGTATAACTCGCGAACGAAGGCAAAATCTAAAAAATTGTCACGAGCTAAACATCACCGCTGGGAGGTCAGATTTGTATATCCAATTCAAATCTGTTAAGTAGGTTAGATTAAATTTCTTGATCGCTGCAAATTTCGGCCCAAATAGTTCTACAACTCACGAATGAAGGTCATATGGAAATTTTTTCCCGTGCTAAACATCACCGTTAGATCCTAATGAATACGTGTACCAAGTTTCATTGAGCTCCGTTCATTAGTTTGGGAGATATTCCTTGGTCACTGAATTTGGAGATTGGCCGCAGGATTTTTTATCTTTTTTTTATTTATCTGAGACGTGAGCATTTATCCTCCCCCGCCACTCACCCAACACCGGCACCCCGGCCAGTTTCTCCTCCCCCACCACTCACCCAACACCGGCACCCCGGCCAGTTTCTCCTCCCCCACC